GATCAATGATCTCAATGGGATACACCTGGGTAAATAAAGGTTAGAAATTAAATGAAAATCTAGTTATATGGTTGTGAAAAACCTTTTTAAAGTTTTATAACGAAAACACACAGTGCATTTTATCTGAGAGTGTGACTATGCATTAGAGAGAAATCAGAGTGTGTAATTAGCCTGTTTACACACACTCACACACAGAGATGCATTAAGTATTAACAACCTCTTTTAACGCTTCACATGGTTACACTTCACTTATCTATGACCTTATTCTGCTTTATTATGTAACTATGGGATTCCCACAATAGTCTTTAAGTCTCTTTGATTACACTTAAGTACCTAATCTAACCTTGCCATATATTGTACACAGTAATATATTTACCTGCTAACATTTGGAACATCACGTCTATATTTTAATCAAAATCTGCCTGTATGACTTGCAGAGGTCTTATTCTGCACTAACAAAAGGGAAATCAAGACATTCTCTCTCTGTCTTTCTCATTCTCCCACGCTATCTCTATCGAACCCTTGTCTTAGCGAGTGAAGAGCGAGCTTTGGAGCCTTTGAAGCATGCCGTATGGAGTGCTTGTGCGTAAAGCTGGATTTTTTTTTTTTTATTGTTTGACATCACAGGATTTTTGTCTTGGCCTGAAAAAATATACATGTGCACCATGTGGAAAGTGGAAAATAGTACTATATGTGCACTCTCCAAGAGTCAAAATCAGATCAGTTCGCCAACTGGTCAACACACCTGCTGCCCCTATCAAAATAAAAGCACAAAAGGCTATTTTGTTATTAATTAAGCAGGCTTCTTTGCACATGATTTTCTTAAATGTACTTAAAAAAACATCCTTACATCCATTACATGTATTATGAGCTACTGTATTCTGCATCCTATAATTAAAATAGCATGCAATCTATTCACAAAGGTGTTGATTGAGACATCATCGCATCTGTGTTAAATCTATGAAGCCTTGTCTCTCTTGTATCTCGGTGCATTGATGCACTTCGTTGCTCTTTGAAACACTTTGTACTTCTCGGAGCTCGTTAAAATTAGACCCGGATCTTACTCAGACTCTTTCTCTCACTTTCACTTTCCCAAAATGAAGTGAAGTCTTTGAAGACGGTGCTATGAAGAGCAAAGTGTGTTCTTTCTTTTTTTTGCTATGTAAAGAGCGCGGCAGCTTTTCTCTTTATTGTCTCTGACATCTCATTGCTTTGGTCTGAGCTTGATCGAGGGCATGTTTGGTTTCACTTCCTTCCTCTATTCCATTTCCTGATTTCTTGTGCATGTTGAGGCTCACGGCTGATGTGTGTGAGAGGCTTTCAGCTGCCAGGTTTTGTTCTCACTGAATCTGCAGCTTATAATTCTGTGTCATAAAGAACAAGGCAACAGTAGGTTTAACAAGTTAGGGCTTTCAGGGCACGTTTCAAGATTAACATCTCAATGAAATGATAAGAGAATGAATGAATGATAACTGATTAAGCAGTTGTTTGTGTCTTTGAACTGAGTGTATCATTAGCTGTCTTGTTCTCTGCTTCTCTGCTAGCCTGCTACAGTAGCTAGTTTGTTTGTTGCACACTCCTTTGCTAGCTGCATTACACCCACTCAAGGAGTTTCATATCCTTGCTCCCATGTAATACAAGCTGTATATGGAATATATTTGCTGTCTTCTCAGTAAAAACAGAGATTCAGCAGAACTTCAAGCCAAATGCTTCAAGAAACAGATGGATGGAAAGACTGCATGCTGCATGTTTGACCACATGGTCGGTTCGTTGCGCCACGATTAGCAATCCATGGTTCCTCTTAACGTTAAACCGCTCGTTTTCACTGGTTTAGACAAAAAACAACTACTGATTATGTGGTGATTTTGGGGTTTTCTCTGGTAGGAGATCATGAATGCAGCAGTTGCCCTGGTCCCGCCGCGTCTAGACTATGTAATTGGTTCATTACAGTCCTCTAAAATATGATCAAAGAGGGTGAATATTTAGTTTAACACTGACATTGAACCCTTAACTAGACCTTTGTGCATGACAACATTTGCTTTACTGTTTAAAATTAAGAGCTCATAGTTTGAATACAGAACCAGTGCTTCATTCCTCATCTTTTACTACAAGAGCTCACAGACAATTTAAGCAGTAAATAGTCTGATTTCATCCTCGTTTCACTTTTTTTCCTGCCTACATAATTTGCTGGCTCTCTGTTGCCCTTATATAAGCCCATGTCTAAACAGATATAACTTACTTTATATCACATACAAATCTCCCTAACAAAATGAATGTTGCAGAATGGGAAGCATGCCAACATCACACATGTGAATTCTCCAGAGCTTCTGATGCTTTGTGCTTTAATTACCCAGCAGTGGGCTAGCCCTTCAGGGCCCTTTATGTCCTCTGAGATGCGTCTATGGAGGCCAGGCAGACTCTTTGTAGCTCTGTCCCTTCACTGTCTTTGTCTTTCCATCGCATGGGTCCCATGGGTGAGTCCACAGTGGCATCCCGTGTATTATTATTGGCCAATGATAAAGTAGCTGCCACGGCCCTCATGAATTATGCAGGTGAAAGGGAAGCAACTCCGCCCTCAGTTATGTAAATGTAACTTGGAGGAGACAGAGGGAGGAAAGTTGCTGGGTGGGTGTGTATGCCCATTTCTTTGTTGAACAGTGCTCATAGAGGGAGTTGGTTTCCACAATCACATGGTTTGTGTGTGTGTGAAAGGGGAAGTGACCGAGTCATGCTCTAGTGACATACATATGAAGTAGTAAAGTTCTAAAAAAAAAGATTTAATGTTATAAAGTTTATCAATGTACACTTTGCCACTATTGATCGTAACAGTAAATTCTGGTAGGTTTTTACAGATCAAATGTGTTTTTTTGATACAATAAACAGCAGACATGAGAAGTTATAACCACAATGGTTGATGTAGGGAACGATAGTAGGCTATCACCACTTAAAAACCTCACACTGACCTTAGCACTTAAAGAAGTGCTGCCACAAACGTGAACTTGCATGCACTTTGTAAATGTATTTGACTGTGCTTGAGCCTACTACTGATGCTAATTTACCCCTGAATAGCTTCATCACTGCCCTGTGTGAGTAAGCCATTCAGCCATGCATAAAACAAACTCTGCCTATAAATAACCCAGACTGTGCCAGGCCAGTACAGGCATTGAGCGTTAGAATGGGTAACAACCGCTCAAAGCATGGCAGCTCTGTGTGTTATTATGTCATGATTGACAGCAAACACTGGCCTATTGATGTCTCATAATCAGTAATTGCATTGGTGCTAGCGCAACTTCTAAGAGTAAATTGACCAATCCGCTTCTCCGCTTACAGTCCCAATCTAGTTTTCTCTGAATCTTCGAGTAACAGATCCTCTGACAGTTGATTTCCATTGCCATTGATGACATTAAAGTCCTCTATGCGTTTTTAAATTGTCTCCTTGACCCTGGTGCTCAGGTTGAATGGATACCCAATAAGATTGTGCATATCCTGGACCTATACCATCTCACTGTAACAGTGAGTGTATGTGTTTGTTCAAGGAAAAAGGCCTAATCCCCCTTTCCCCATTGGTTGTGCAGCATATCCATTTATATGATAGTATGATATTCAAACTTTTATCATCTGTTTTGCATCAGATGAGAGCATTAGGGCATCCATCACATCATAATACACTATGTGTGTGTGTGTGTGTGTGTGTGTGTGTGTGTGTGTGTGTGTGTGTGTGTGTGTGTTATAGTTAGTCTATCTTTGCAGGTCTGCTGGCTCAGTAGGTGAGTGTCTATCTCACTGTTGACACCGAGCCAGACACCCAGACTCACTGTTATGAAGGAGAATATTAATCTGGCAAAGGCTCAGGCTGTCCTGTTATGGAAGCAGATGGTACCTGACAAACAGGAGCCATGTAGACACAGATAACCCTCTTTCTTTCCGCAGTATCTATCCATCCATCTATTTATCTATCTATATCTATTTATCTATCATTTCGGGGATTTATAGCAGTAGTAGAGGGATGTGTTTGTGGTAAACTAAGAGTTAATTGAATAAGCTATTTTTGTAATATTGCTACAAATGAATACACAATCAAACAACCAGTCATGAGATTATAATTGCCTTTGTTCCGTCATGTTGTCAGGCAAGTCAAACAAATAGCCTATTTGCATGAATTCTCAATAATAATATAATAGAAAGTATTTCATTAAAAAAACCTGGATATAAATTAATGTTAATCCTATAAAATGAATACACTTCTTTGTGATAGCCCACAACAAAGCCTCATCACCACCTAACCTCTATTGCCTGTGTCTCTACATCACCTATAGAGGGCAGATTGAGGGGCTCTGTGCACATAACGGTTCAGTGTTGACCAACATTGTCCAACAGTTACTATAAGTTACTCAATTTACAGGATGAAGTCAAATGTTTAAAGAAAGTCAGTTTTTCGTCAGTTTCGCTCAAATTATGATTTATTTATAGCGCTAAAATGACCAAATAGATGTCAACCAAATCTCGTTCAGTTATTTGGCAATTTTGTGTTTTCTGCTTAATGTCAAATGTACTTAAGTCAATAAGCATCAGTTATGAGCTATCCAAAGAGGGATGGATCCATGTATTCCTTCGGCATATATTCCACACTCTAATGGTCTTTAGTGATGATAATTCTAACTCGTATAATTTGTTGAGTTGAGTACTTATTTGCAGCGTTTCCCGCTACCAAAATATGCAGTGGGGGCGTTAGCGAACGTAGTAACCAAGATTTAAAAAGTTGAAATCTTATTGAAAACATGTCCTAATATGAGGATTAAATTAAGCCGAATTTGAAATATAGCTATTCTCATTTAGAATCTGCTTCAATCATGTTCATTGGGGTATTTTTATGTATGCCGAGATGCAAGGAAACTTAAAACAAGCATCATTCTGGTTATATCTGGTTGCGCTCCCTCAACGGGGCTTAGCCGTAGTTTGGATACGGGGACAGATGAGGGTTGTCTGCAGTCGTTTCTTACCTGTGACATTTGCGGTCGGAGGTTGATTTCCTTTAGGTTGATGGACTGGGGTCTCAGGTTGTTGAGCAGATGGCACAGGAGGACTCCATCCCGGAGAGTCTGAGCCAAGTCAAATACCTGAGCAGACTCCCATGTAACCCGGTGGTTAGCTGCAAGCACCTTGCAGTTTATTAACCACAGCGCGCATTGCCTCCAATACTCCATCATTATTGTGACTTCTGTGGGACGAGCTTTAAGAGAATAAGATGTTTTTAGCAAGTGAAACTGCTCACGGCTCAGTAGTGTGTCTTAAATCGTATCCATGCTATATCCGCCAACTGTAAAAGCCGATGAAAACGGAACTGGAGCACAGCTGGTGGAGGATGAGTCCGGTGTGCTGAGGCTGTGGATGGAGCGCACCCTGCACTCTTCCTCTCTCGCTCTCTCACTCACACACCCACATACACACACTCTCTCACTCAGTGTTTCTCAATGTCTCTCTTCCCTCCCCCTCACACAGTTCCTCACCTCTTCCGCTTGTCATCCATAGGCTCTTAGTATATGAAATTACAGTAAATATATAACAACTAAATACTTAGTACAGAACACATAATATGCTGCTGTGGAAAAACATGCTTTTCCTCAATTGTATGCATTCATTTTCGTTATTTTGTACAGCTAATATGATCAAATATGTCCAAGTTCCTCTCTGTATGCAAATACTCCAGGGATTATAAAAATAGGGCTTGTCAATTAATGGTTAACAAACTTTATCATAAACCAATTGTAACTCATCAGTTGCCATTTAAGTATATGAAGTACAGTTTTATAACTTCCTATGAATTGAATTAAGTAAAAGGCAGTGTATAATTGTGCACGTATATTATGGTATATCTTCTTATTATATGATCAAATTTTACTGCAGCATCATTAAATGACAGGTTAGGTGACACCTTAAAACTGTGTTATTTTCGTATGTAAATAAATGGCTGCTTCTCCTGTTTAGTGATGCATATCGGATGTTTTTACCAGAACTCTGTACCTTACATTTGCATGAGTGAATCATTAGTCCAGGAGGAATATTTGTTGCAAAAATCCAGATGTGTGTTATTTACTTTTTGGTAAAGTGGAATTTCATTTTAGCTGAGTCCAATTTGTTCTGTTAAAAAATATAAACACTGTAACACTGCCAATATCAAAGACGTACAATACAAGCTGAATTACTTCTTTATTGAGTTGTCTTGAAATTAAATTCAAGCAACAAGTTCTTATTTTGACGCCAAAAGGCTGTTGGACAATACATAGTCGTATGGAAAGTTGTTTTTAATTGGATTTACTGACTGTATTTTCCAAGAAGCCCACAAAATGACACAGCCATTAAGTCCCCGTTGGTTCCCAATCTGTGTTAGCCTATTACCCCAAACTGTCTCTATTAAAGTAATGGTATCACTTTCTGCAATCAAACACCAATAAGGTCCTTATCTACAGCCATTTCCACTTTGAGATTACCACCCCTTCAATTGTTTCCTCTGTTTTGGAGAAAGTAAACAAAACCTACTTCTGTTTTCACTACTTCCATTCTAACTTGCCATTTATAGATGACACATTTACATATTTGTCCAATACAATATGTTTGCATTTATGGTTTGAGAACAAAGATTTATGTGTTAATGACAGTATTTTCACACAATCATAGCCAAGAAAGAGGCAAGAATTAACATTTCTAACATAATGATTTTGCAAATGCATGCTGGCTTCTTATCATTTCACTAAGAGCATGATTGGTGTGACTGAGCCAATATATGGTCCAACTGAAGCTGGCTTTATCTCTTATTGCTTCTGTGAATAAATGAGGAAACTCTCCTCAGATTCTGCTGCATGCTGACATCTCTGGTTAGACTTATGAGCATCAAATTAAACGCTTTAAATTGCTCTGTAATGTGTGGAGCCTGGCAGAGGGAAATATAAAAGATATATATAGATATGTACTGCATTAAGGCCGCACTATACTAATTTGTGTGCACATTATATAATGTGTTCCCTCAATTGAAGTAAATCCTTCCCATGTTTTGATGAATTTGTGAATACAGATTCAATTTTTAAATATTTGTTGGAAGTTCACGAGGCCAGGTCATTTATTCCAGCCACCACCAGTTAAAGCACTTGACCTTGATGGATAGAGACTCTTTTATTAATCTTTACTTATGGAGGAATTGTTGTTTAATTGTTATTAAATGGAAATGCAAATTACATTCTACATTTGGATGATCTACCAACTAACTCACCTTGAAAGCTAATTATCAATGTAACTTACAAATAGCCTAATGCACTGTAAAAATAAATATATCAAGGCCTGGATTCATAAATGCTTGCCATTCAACAGACCAGCGTTTCTCCCTGAAGTTCAGCCTTAGGCTCTGTATGGTAATGGCAGCATGTTGGTTCATAATGGTATGCGCAAGCCGCCTTTAGCTTTACAAGGTGCCAGTTTATTGCGTAGCATAGCCCAAACATACAGAGTGGCGATGAGAATGTGGCCAAGAATGTGAAGCAGTAGAATTACTTCCTCTGTCACTGTCAAGATGCTCTTGAGCCCCAACTGATCCAGAGGAGCTGCAGAGTAAGAGTAAAATACTGCAGCGAGTAGCTTCCAGGCACAAATGTGAAGCGAGAGTGAACCTGCAATAAAAGTTTTTATTGATCCCTGTTGGGCTATCACCACAACGCTAAAGCAAAAGGCAACATAAAAACTGAGTAAATGGGATGACATCCAAATCAGGATATGCAAAAAGGGATTTAGGCGTCAGAGCAGCAGCAGCGCAGAAAGAAATGATATATTTAGACAATTCTAGATGTGTTACAAAATGGTATGCATTATATAACAAAACAGGAATAGGAAAGAAATCCAATATCTGAAAGCATTTAACTCTTTGTATAACACAAGGGGTGCTGGTAATCACATTAACAGTGCTACATGAGGCGCCTCTCACGGCATGTGCAGAAATAATGAGAGATAAGAAGAGCAGAATTCCACACCTACAATATTAATTTCCTTTCCAGATAAAAATGAGACTCACAGAGATGTTAAGATTGCAGAGTAAGGATTCTTACAGAAAAACAGTAGTACGCAGAACAAAAATAATGTATGTCGATGAAACACATTTAGTTCATTTACATATAGAGCCTGTGCAAACAATACTGTGAAGATTAGTCTCCAGCATGAGCAGCTGTAAACACGTAGAATTCCTCATCTCCACTTCCACTCTTCATATTTGTGCAGATGATTTGGATGAATGTCAGTCGCTCCTACTCTATTGTTTACCCACATTGTATTCAAATGAAGACTGATTGTAATGGAAGGAGTTTGTGTGGCTTAGATGTGAGTGTCCAGCTTTGTCTTCCACTGGCCTCACACCGGATACCATGGCTGCATAGCGCAGATGACAGGAGAGGTGACTAGCGGCCGGATGCTGGCATACTCTAAGCACCCTTCTCCAGTTTCAGCTTCCTCTCTGAGACGAGAAGGACAACCATGCAGCGAGGCAATTATCAGCATTCCTGTGATAAATGCTGTACAGGGACTCAGGGGAAGCAAACACACACAGAAGTGTAACACAAGCATGCATTTGGGAAATTGCGATATTTTGAGTTCTTTTTTTAAATTGCAAAATCAACACATCAAAACACAGCATGTTTGAACTCATTTTCACCAAAGCACAGATTGCATATTTCTGGGTTATTTCACCTGGAATAAGACCAGAATTAGTTGTTAATGACTAGCTATGTGAGCTTCCAGGAAACAGCATGATTATGTCTAGGCACATATGGCAGATGTGATCTGACTGCCAGGGTATTTTTTCAAAATCACAGCACATAATTAAAGTGCTTCTATAATCACATAAGAGATAAAATGTTCATTGGGTCACTGGAGATAATGAAAAAACAAGATGGCACACGATAAGAGGATATAGAATTATTTTAGGACATCAAAAATTAAAAAGATATTACATAAAATCATGTAAATAAACTAAAACACAAGGACATTCTACAGCAGCTATGTGTTAGCCTTCTCAGACTTAGCTGTACTTCATGTTTAGCGCTAATTAGCAAATATTATCATGCTAGCGTGCTAAATGGTTAACGTTATTCATGCTTAGCATTAGAATTATAGCATTCCCATTTTTGGGGCAGGTGTCCAAGAACTGAAGTTAGCATTGAAAACAAAACACTGTTGTGCCTCACAGCTATATAGCAATGCTATTGATGGGTTGTCTTCCTATCTTTCTGGTTAGTCATATTTGCTGCCTTTTCCCCAAGCTAGAGCCTGAAAGAGAAACCCCCCACATGGAGTACATCTGAAAGTGTGTCCAGTTCAAAATGATCCCTTCTTGTGGTTTGCAAGTTTTGGCATAAAGAGGAATCCTTTCCACTCCCGACTATCTTGCAAGATGATCATAGCAAACAAAGCACCTCCCTGAACATGCGGGCACTGCCACATTGTCCGCACTCCTTCAATATCTCCTGCAAATTCTGCCAGGTTGAAATGTATAGAGCCTCACCACCATGGCCCATTGTGTCACTGGATCTGGTGACAGTGTCTGATCTATTTGTGCCACTCTTTTATCCCCTCTGTGAAGGGCATGTTTTTTCCCCTGCGAGTGAATACAAATGCTCTCCTTTTATAGCAGACTTAGAAGAATTATCTCTCAGTTGCACCTGACACTGAATGTACGTGTCTCTCCATTAAATTAAATTAACTTTGACTGTCCTTTCATAATCCGCTCATTCAAATGTTCTTCTATTGATGGAACATTTCAGTTTGTCCGCCTGAAACAGGATTTTGGTGCACATAGCAAGTTCAAACACTAGCATAAATATATTTACATTTCCACAACCATGACAAATGTGACACTGGAGGCGACCCCAGCAGCTTTTGTTCATTGTTTTCTAACTGCTATTGATTACATGACCCTACCCATGGCACTCTATTCTGCTGGTTTAGGAGGCAAGAAGAGAAATCAATGTCCTGGGATACCCATGAGAGGCAGGGATAAGTGGAGCCTGGCCCGGCCTCTCAGGGCTGCATCAGAGCTGGAACAGGGGGATCAGCTGGGGAATCATCAGGATTGACGCAATGGAGTGGAAGATATAAAAAGAGAAAACACAACAAATTAAAATAACAAACAAAGTCTTTGAAAGCTATTTAAATGTATAGTAATTCTCCCTCTGGCGTTGCAGTATAGTAGTCGAGTGCAAATTAACTGATACATAAAGGGTTGTTTTTATAAACCGTCTGGAGTTTAGACACATGATCGTGAGCAGGAATAGTCTATGGCTGGAGCCCCAAGCTCAGTGGGTGAGGAGGTGACCCCCAGTGTTTCGTCTGTGAAGGGCCTCAACAATCCAGCAAAGCAGAACTGTTGCCTCCAGCTGCAGAAAGCATCTCCAAATGGTCAGTGGTATGACAAAATGCCACGCAAGCTGAGTCAAATCAATACACTTGCAAGCTATAAGTGTGTTCTTTCTTTTGTCTTCTTTTGTTCAGTCTCCTTTTACTTTTCACCAACTTAAGCTGAAATATCTTGACAATAATTAGATGGATTGTCAAGATATTTCAGTCAAAAGTTTAATTGGATATATCTTAAACAGACAATCATTGTCCTCCTTGAACATTCTGTCTATCTGTGTTGTGCTTTTCGGTTTGAGTTTATTTTAAACATTACATAATCATAATTTCGTTCCTACCCTCACCTGGTCATGAAGGATACAAGCGGCCGAGATGGGTTTTCTCCGCAGGGTGGCTGGNTTTAATTGGATATATCTTAAACAGACAATCATTGTCCTCCTTGAACATTCTGTCTATCTGTGTTGTGCTTTTGGGTTTGAGTTCATTTTAAACATTACATAATCATAATTTCGTTCCTACCCTCACCTGGTCATGAAGGATGGGTCATGACCGAAAGAACGAGATTGCGGATACAAGCGGCCGAGATGGGTTTTCTCCGCAGGGTGGCTGGCGTCTCCCTTAGGGATAAGGTGAGAAGTTCAGTCATCCGGGAGGGACTCTGAGTTGAACCGCTCCTCCTTCGTGTCGAAAGGAGCCAGTTGAGGTGGTTCGGGCACCTAGTTAGGATGCCACCTGGGCGCCTCCCTAGGGAGGTGTTCCAGGCATGTCCAGCTGGGAAGAGACCAAGGGGTAGACCTAGGACCAGGTGGAGGGATTATATCTCTTCGCTGGCCTGGGAGCGCCTTGGGATCCCCCAGTCAGAGCTGGTTGATGTGGCCAGGGAAAAGAAAGTTTGGGGCTCTCTGCTGGAACTGCTACCTCCGCGACCCGACCACGGATAAGCGGGAGAAGATGGATGGATGGATAATCATAATTACTATAGTGATCCTCTGACTGTGATCTGTCTACAAACGCATCTCAATGTGTTCTTTAATTAAGTTAAATAACTTCACATCTACCTAATAGATTCAGCACCCCTAAAAAACCATAGTTAGACATCTCAAAAGTCACTTTTGGTAGAAAAAATGTTTTCACTATTTTTACCCAGGCCCTCTGGGCACCCCAACTTTGATTGGCTCTCAAGGCGATTCCCAGAGGATTTGGCTGTGGATAAATTGGGAGATGTTACTAGACACCTATAGGGACATATGGTAAAAAAAGCTATTGGTAATAAATTATTTCACGATATGGCCAAAAAAATACCTAACTTTCCCTAACTATATAGTGATCCTCTGACTGTGATCTGTCTACAAACGCATCTCAATGTGTTCTTTAATTAAGTTAAATAACTTCACATCTACCTAATAGATTCTGATATGCATGTCTAGTGAATGCAGCTCAAGGCCGGACTCCTCCCCAACCCCTCCCCTCATTAGAGCAGAGTATAAAAGGCACCTGGTGGCTCTGCTGTCATGGTCGCTGTTACAGGTGGGCTGCATAACTTATTATATGGATACATCTGCTAGTATTTCATGCTCACTTACTACTTCCTTGCAGATTGTCCTGAAGCTCAGTAGTGTTCCAAAACCTCTTCCTGTGGTGAGTAGGGCAGACCTGAAATGTGAGGCAACTGTAACCTTCATTTAACCATTGCTTTTAGGTTCACCTGCTGCAGTTTGGTTTTTGCTGTTTATTATATTTTGATTAGTTTAGCCTGTTTTGCATCTGTCTTTTATAAAATAGTTTTAGCTTTTGCTATTTGTATAATACTGTGTTTTGCCTTTTTAGTCAAGTGTTTGTCTTTCTTTATATATTTCCCCTGTTTGTTTGCGGTTTGAATAGCACTGGGGAGCACACATGGACTTTTAGTATTACATGTTAAGTAAATATTGTAAACCAATTTGTTCAATAAAGATCATTTTAACTGAATATTTCTTGTTGGTTGTTTTCTAATCAATGATTTGTATCTTTCAGCAACATTTCCTGAGTTTCCTTTTTGATTACATTTAATAAAAAGTACTTTATTTGGCAACACCCCCTCAATTAACGAATCTGTGTAATCTGTGCATCGTCTTTCTGTGTCTGTCGAATGTAAAGGGATTACCAAAGTGCAACTGGGAAGTTGATATGATGGTTTTGACTGAATTATTGTTTAGTTTGCTTTCATTCAGCCCAATCATTAGGTCATACACTTAAGTTGTTAAATATACGAAAACATCTTTCTTCATACTATTGATTCTTATTAGTTTGAACCTTACACATCAACTCTACTCCAATAAAGATGTTATATAACCTCTATTTACACTACCAGCTCTTCGGCCTCTATCCTGTGCCAAACTGTTTTTTTGAGGTTGTCATTGGTCGATGCTTATCACTGGGCTGATGGTACCCTCCCTTTGCGAGAAAACTGACATTGATACAACATATTTCAACACTTCAAGTCTTAAGAGGTGAAGAAGAAGCTTGAAGGTAAGGATACAAAAAAGTCTGTATTTGTTAAGGTCTTAAAATATATTTTTGTACTTCATTAAGATGCACCATGTTGCTTCAAGGACATCTGTTGTATTCATTGGAAGTATACAAACATTAATATTCTGATCATATTACAATAACTTTGACTAAATTATAAAGTGTGTTCTGTCTAAGGTTATATTAGTCTTCAATGTGTAAGAATAATTCTCTAATATTTACCAGAAGTTATGTAATCAAATGCTGTGTTGATGCAGCTATCTTCGATTTCTACAAAAAATAAATTGTAGAAAATGACATGCAGACAAACTTGATTGACCAAAAAGAAAACAATGTCTAAGGCATGTGGATATATTGAATTAAAAAAAATTATGCATCATGGATAAATTCAAACCCAATGTGTAAAAGTACTTTTGCTAGACAACATCCAACCATTATAGAGAGATTTAACTGGATTGCATTATTACAATTACAGGCATAGAGCGTAAGTTTTTCTTTTTTATATATATATTTTTAATTTACAATGAAATCTTCATTATTTCATGCATGTGCTGTACTTCTGTGTGAAATGAAAACAGATGGCCTCGACTCTGGCAGACAGAGCCATTGGCGCCATTATTGGGGCAGCAGTGGCAGATGCAGCAGGTAAGATAAACTGTGTGATACAAGTTCTGTGACTCAGCTGCAGCTACAGGACTTTCTATATTACTTTCCATAATATCTGCTTACTTCACTTCACATCAATTCACAGGCCTTTTGCATTTTATGAGGCTTTCATATCGCTTCAACTGGTTCCTGTTATACGCATGTCTATTTGTTGCAAATGTCGCCTTTATTCACAACTAGTTGGAGTTAAATATCTTTAAAAAGCTTTCTAGTGTTTTTTTTTTAAATTTCATATTGGCTATAACGCCTAACAGTTTATTTTTTTTGTTGCATAGTTACATTGTCAGTGGTATTGTCTTTAAGCAACATCTGTACATGCTGATTAAATCCAGGGGCGGTTACCACACAGTCTATGGACTATCTATGGACAGTCTATCTAGTCTACACAGTCTTATGAAAGTCATGTTGACGTCACACATAGCGTTATGAAAGCACAGTTTCTCCAATAGTATCATCAATATTAAACCACTTAAATATGATAGATTTTATCTTCACTTCCACATCATTCTTAATTCACAGCATAATGATGCATACTAAATGAGTAATTAAAAAATGTTGGTTCCTGCTGGGTGACTGCTTCACATGTGTTTCTTATTTACTTGCTCCATCACAACACACTTCTCTTTCCCTTCCCATGTTATCTGTTATTGACAGGCTGTATATACAGGAGATCATTTCAAAAACACTAACATTCAAAAGTATTGAATGTTCCACTATTTTTCTCTCTCTCGTGTGTGTGTGTGCTCCCCGCCCATACAGCCCAGCCCATGCATTGGATCTACAATCCTGATACGCTCAAAGAAGTTCTCTCTGATCTGGAGCCCTGTCCGGAGTTTCGGCCTCAGTCAGCGAATCCTTTCTACCGCAGGACTACGGGCGAGCAGACCTGCTATGGAGACCAGGCGTACGTCCTGCTGGAGTCCCTGAGCCAGTGTGGAGGTACGGAAACAGGCAGCACCAAAAACCCTGTCAGTGCCTGCCAAAACCATGGAGTATCATTGTTTTCATCAGCAATAAATTGATGGCATCTCAAAGACTTCAAAGATTCCCCTCAAAATGTCTAGTAAACGTTTGAGAAAAGACTGTGCGGTGTTGGTACATGAAATATGAAGAAATAGTACTGAGATAATTATTTTATCTGAGCATAAAAACCACAAGCAGGCGGAAACGGCTAACCAAACTGTAGTTTAAAACAGATAAGTGGTGGTTTTATCTGGGGCTAAGATGAGGACTTGTTCTCTTTAAATGCTCTGACTTCTTATAAGGGTTACTCCCTGAACATCATGCTGTATTGAAGAATACTTGAAACTAATTATTAAGATCATGAGCTCAATAGAAACATGTTTACAAAGATGATAAATCAAATGAGAAGTTGGGTCATGTTCTCATAGACTATACATTCTGACTTCTTGTTGTTATAAATTATTCAGGTTTAGGGCACTTCAACATTGGTTTAAATGCAAATACTACCTATATACTACCCCATTTATAAGCTAAGCTAAAGTTTTCTCATCTACTTATCTGTGAAAAAAGTGAATAAGTGAATTTACAATGTTAAGATTTCGAAAATGATCTTCTTCTCTTTTCTTTTTTTTGGTTATATGCCACATTTAACAGATCACTTGCCTTTTACTATGTACATTGTATAAAAGAGGATATTACATAAGTGTGTTTAATACTTTTAACATTATTTTTTATGAAAGAAACACTATGTCATGTGTTGGCAGATTTTAGTGAAGAAGATTTGACCAAGCGCATCTACAAGTTCTTTGGTCCAGGAACAGTGTACGACCTGCCTCTCAATGATCCTTACAGACAGAAAGGAGGTACTGTACCTGTTCATCTTTTATGTAAATGGAGATTATGTGATGTCCATATGTATCAATCATCAACCTAACTAACCTAAAAGGATGTGAGAGCCTCTGTTACTGTCTGATAACACTGTGAATAATGTTTTTCCTACCAGCTGATGGGGGAATTCCCACCCCATGAAAATATTCCATCCAGTCAGACTTCTCTTTTCTTAGTTGGTGTTCAGAGCTTTGGATATGTGCTGCTTTTTTTACTGTCAGGATATCATATAAATACAGTGCTAGTGCTACTGTAAAGCACCGTGACAGCACAGGGCACTTTTGGGTACAGTAAACCACCGACATCTTTATGTCCTAGAATAATATAAGAAGAGCTGTGTCATCATCACTGGCAGAGATAGCTGTGGCTGAGCAGACAAAGAAAAGAGCTCCACCTACAGAAACTTGAACTGCATCAACAGAGAGTAAAAGGAAACGTTGCTTTTCCTGTCCCTCGCTTGCTTGGCACCAGCCACACTTCTCAGATTCCATATAATTTGAATGAAGCCGTAAATCATATCTAAAATGCGTTTTTGTTGTATTTTCTAGCTCCCAAAGCAATCCTCCCCATAGATGGCCCATGGAGAAATGCGAGCCTGAAAGCATTCATCAGAAATGTGGATGCTGGCAAAGAAGAAACTGGTAAAGATCACAAATCAGAAGTCCATGAAGACATCCCCAGTTTTGTGATTGTAATCTCTGTGTGTGTGTGTTTTTATAAGGCTGTGATGTGGACTGTCAGATGGACGGGGTCACTAAGCTGGCTCCGGTGGTGGCCATGTACGCCGGCCGCCCTGAGATGTTGGAGAAAGTGGAGAAGGCCATTCGAGTGACCCAGAACAATGACATGTGTGTGGCTGTGACACTGGCTGCGGCAAGGTAAGAGAACATGGTCAAGCACAGGAGTTATACAATAATTTTGAAGGGAGTGAAAGGAGACTTAACCTTTTGTCCGTCTAATTTTGCAAGGTTTTTGGAGCACTTCATTCTGAATGGTCCCGACCCTAATGCTCTGGATGCTGTTGTGGCTCACTTGAATGACCCGAACAGACAGAACCCTCAGGAGCTGGACCGGGCTGTCATTGGTGAGATAACATGTGTCTTTAAAGCTTCCTTGGTCATGAAATAAAAAAAAAACTATTGACAGATATTTGTTAGCCACTTCTTTTTAAGAGGTAAATGAAATGGAAAGATCACCATTTACCAGTGGTTGATGAGCATAGCTTATAGCATAAAGACTTAAAAGAGTCTATGAGGTATTCATTAGTGAGATTTAAACTTACTTGACTAAGTTAAGCTTATAAGATTTTGAGCTTTATATTGTATTCAATGGTTCAATATTAAAGTGGTATCAACCTCATTTAACTCAACGCAATAAAAGGAAATCTGCCGTATTGACCGATAGTTCAGAGGGAGTTTTTCTGGATATGGCAGGAACTTTGTCTTTTCTAGTATCTTTCCTTAAACAAGCAGAAAGGGGATTGGGGTTACAAAATGCAGAATCAAGGAGGACTTGTGGGAAATGTGGTCAAAACAGCATGAAACGCAAAATGCTAAGGGGGAAACATGTCTTTGTTGCATTTTTCTTTGAACATCAAAATAGAATGTTACATAAGATATATAATGTGCGTTATTGGCAGCCAAAAATGGGTTCCAGTGTTTAAACATTAAACAATACATCTTATCTCTTTTCCTGTATCACTTCTGCAGCGCATATCCACCAGGTGAAGGACAACCTAGCCAAGTCATCCCCACAGCTCATACCTGCTGCGTTCAAAAACACATGAGGTGAGCCGGGCGCTAGCAGCAGGACCAGGTCTGTGGACTTGGCATGGCGTGTGTGTGCTCCCTGTCAGTATCCGTTTGGGTCCTCCAGCCTTTGATCTCCTGGCTAATACTCCCCCTCCTCCTTTCTTTTCATCCTCCCCTTCCTGCTGAGTGGAGTGTCTCAGGTTTTACAGGGCTAAAAGGTTGAGATGCTTAATATACATGTTCAGTTCACCAGAGCTTTTCAAGTATGATATTGCGAAAGTATATCAAGTCATGCTCTTTGATAGCAATATTTGTCACTTAGAATCATTCCTATTTTATAGCTAAATCAGTTACTGTATTATTTACCATGTGTTTCTCAATCTGCTACTTAATTTTTGTGTGTAGTGTTGCCCGATGCGTTCCAGGGAGCGCTTCATGGAGTCCTGAAGCTGAAGCAGCTGGATGAAGCAGTCAGGGACACCATGCGCTGCGGGGGGTGCACCTCCAGCAGAGCCTCCTTCATTGGAGCCTGTTTTGGGGCACAGGTATTGAAGAGCTGAAGCTATCAGGCTTATGAAATAGTCATTATCAATTAAACTGTTTTGAGTTTCTTATTGGTAAAAAGCAGAAAGGAATAAGTGTTTTGAAAGATTTGTATATTATATGTACATGTAGGACTAATCAAACCATTTAACTATTTTAATAATTGATCCATTATTGGAGACATTTTTATGCACAAATGGGAGAACATCTCAAATATGGAGATTTAATATTTAAATCAAATGTTCTATTCATATTAAACAAAATATCTCCCGGTTATGAATGAATAAACAGCACATTTGAAGATATCCCTTCAGAATTTTAAAAACTGGGATGGACTTTTTTCACAAGTAAAGTATTATCTGTTAACAAAATTGCCAAATGATTCAATACAAATAAGCCCTAATTAAGGCACGATAATGTACACATGCAAATCATGTGTAACAGCTGTTATATATACAGTCTATGGTAACAGGACAATAATAATACTAAGCTAAGTGTATGAAAGCTAGCCTAGTCACATAATCAATCAAAAAGGCCAGAACATCATTCAAAGACATTACCCATGTTTGCTTCATGGTTCAAATATATAATTTATCGTATTGTTGTTGTCTGTAGTCAAACTCTTCTGATGAGTTTGACAGTGATCTCAGATATTCTGAAAGCTCTGTGCTGCCTGCGATGCTTTCAGCTGTCATCTTGATGTGTTTTCAGACGGGTCTCCAGGGGATCCCAGAGTCTTGGAAGGAGAGGACACTCAGATATCCTCTGCTGCTGGAGCTAGCACAAAGTGTGGTCCAAAAGAGTCAGCAAATGTAGTTCAGCTTTGATTTTTGCCCTAAATACAGTTGTTTTTATCACATATCAAGTATTTATGGAGTCTGGATAATCAAAACTTTTTAGAATAGACTTGCAGATGTACTTTGACACGACGATTCATGACAGTCGCATTCTCAAGTCTTGTACTGAATGAAACTCGAACCCATTTGCTCTGTCAAAACTGCATCATGTAAGAAAGTGAAAGTCTGTACAAGGATTTGATGTTGAGTTGAAGACATTAAATACATTTATCCTCAGCAGCTGCATTTTAGGAAACCGTCTCAAATAAAAGATTGTAATGTCACCAACATACATGTCTGTATTGCTTATTTGTGGACAGTTTAATGATCTTAAAAAACTAGCACTGTCTTCTTGAAAAAACGACTTTTGCTGAAGTTTGAAGAGGTTTTGGTTTTCTCTTACCCTTGAGTGTTTTCTGTTGTCGAGTGAAAGAGCAGATACACACAGATTTACTGCTGGAACAACCAGAGTGCAACCGATTCCTCCCTCAAAGGAGCTGTTCTGCCTTCCTAAAAGTGCTGACTTCCATATTCATGTGTTTAAAGCACCCGCCCCAACAATTCTAAAAGTTAGCCAAGCATAAAGCGAAGCCAAAGCCTTAATATCTTTGACATAGTGTGGTTATAAAAAATGCAGTGTGTAGGCTACTATGGGAGTCCATTCACTGTTTTACAGCTTACTTCTTCAGAAATGTATAACAAACAGGGAATATTTGATGCTTTAATTCCTTTCAAAGTTGTAAATCAATCCCATTATGTAATTTACATGTCAATAACAAATTACCGAAGGTGTCCCATGGGAAAACCAAAAGCATTTTAAGGTAACACCCAACATAAGAACAATTGTGTGGTTGGATAAAATGTCGAGCCATCGTTTAACTGAAAGGCTGTAGCTGACGGCCGATGAGCCTACAGAAGGGAAGCCATTTGATTTCCCCCTCTTCCTGACTTCCTCCCACACAGCAGGTAGCAGGCGCTGTCTGGCATAATTACAACCAGACATGAAGAGTGTTTTTGTTTTTCCAAAAGTCTGCTCCCTCAACACATTTTCTAAGAAAGAGGGGAAGGTTGCAAGACATTTAGAAATATTATCCTCAGGGTAAATGAGATACATAAACCAAATCTGCATTGTGGTGTACAAAAATCAGGGGAAATCATTCAGAGGGGAGGATCTAAATAATCTCCCCCTGTGTCCCTTGAAGCCTGAGTGTAGAACCATTTGTCCTCTACTTTCATGTGAATTGCAAAGTTTGGAGTCCAGCCATGACTGCCGCTAATAAGTAAATGCATAACTTATGAGGACAGATGAGACTCCCACTCGTCCTCCGTGTCTTCCTCCTCCTCTGCATAGTAGTAATGCATATTGAAATGTGTGCTGTTCCTGTCCCAGGATGATATTCAGGAATATGTGTTGTTCTGTTGCATCTGAATGGTGTTTTTAACGATTTGCATTTGATCTTGACTGCTATTTGACCCCCCAAAAATTGCATGACTTAATTTAAACTCTCATTTAGACTTGATAGCTGTCAATAAAACATGAAGGAATCAATGGGAAAGGGTCAATGAGGGGTGACCAGCCAAGGGTGTGAGGTTAAGGGTTCAGGGCAGATCTTTATATATGTGTTTAGCTGCTAATAAACTGAAACCTCAGTAAAGAGAAAACAGTGTGCTTACATTTTCCAACCATGTATTGTGCTTTACATGATTTGTGTGCAAGGTGCCATTACAATGTTGTTTGAATATCCTTTAAGTTTCTAATGTCTTCATATAAATAATATTTTGGTTTAAGATATTTAAATAATATAGTTCAATAATGATATGTTTCCCCCACTTCATAGTGTTGGGATGAGGGTCCACCCTCCAGGAGGAGGCAGTAATGCATCTAAAACGCCAGTTGCCAACCTACATTAAAAGAAGATGAAGAATAAATGGGAAGCTACCGTTTTTGCATTGACATACACCTGAGCAGGGGAGAGTGTCAAGACCATAGATATAGGCTTAATTAAGAACATAAATGGCTGGACCTGATAAATGACAGTCAAACATGTAGTAGGGTTTTACTAGGACATACTTCTCTTGCCTTGACATCTCCCAAAAACATGAAACTGTCTGGCGTTGTCTCACACATGAATGCTTTTTCTTGCAATCCTACTGTGGCAACACCAGACGTTTGCTGGTTTACTAACTAAAACTAGTAGCCTATGTGTAGTTTTAGTTTAGTGACATTCCTTTTTAGTGTCAACTTTTCCATTGTTAATATACGCATGCGCGACACTTTCTCCCAGTTGTCAGAATCGGGTGGGTGTGAACTCTCTTGTGCTGTATACTATCTTTGTCAGGTTCAACAGCTGGGTGGAACTCCGACAAAAAGTTGCTTCAATGACATTTTCGATAGGGATGAAAGTTTGACTCTGAGACAAGCTATCTGTTGTATGAAGTGTTTATTTCCACCACGGTGTCATGGATTTTAATGTTAAACGGTTAGCTGCAGACGCCGGTACTTTCCTGAGCCGCGCGGTACAAGTAAGTTTGACCGTCTAATTCTTGGAAGTTGTTGCTAATCAACGTTAGCTGCTAGCTTTATCAGTCAGGTAGCGTTAGCTCACATGCTAAACAGCTAACGCTACCGTGTTGCTAAGAAGCCATTTATTGAGTGAATTCCATATTCTTCAAAGTTGTACTATAGTGTTTTTAAACGGAACCCGTGACACTTCGGCCCATTTATTACATAGTATAATACCCTTCAACATTACTATTAAAGCAGGCCTCAGAAACCATTAGATAAAGCTAACAACATTAGCTAGGAAAATGTTTATTTTTCAAGTTGGTTTGTACAGTTTGCTAACGTTAAATGGCTATCAAACATGCTACGCCACACCTCAGCCCTTATCTCTTAATACGTTGGTGTGTAATTTTCCAGGCGAGACAATAAAGTGGACCCTATTACCGGATATTTTTCTTTTAACAGTTTACAGAAGAGAAACTTGGCCAGGCTGAAAAGACTGAGTTGGATGCCCATTTGGAGAATCTTCTGATCAGAGCTGAGAACACCAAGCAATGGACAGAAAGGATTATGAAGCAGACAGAAGTCTTACTACAGCCCAACCCAAGTAAGACTCTGTGATGACTCTGAATGGACTGACAAACACAATGCTGACATACTGGACCCCCTTTGAGGGTTTTGTAGCACAGGTACCCTCTTTTATGTTCCTGTGTATTTGGGGCGAAAGCCAGCAAACCTCATGTCTGGGTCTCTTATATGTTTGCCACTGAAAAGGGGTCACATAAAAAATGCTAAACATCTCTGTGGTGGTGTTTGACATACATCTGTGCAGTCAGTGGGCTCAGCTGTGCATCCTCCTGCTATCACACCATGGTGCCATATTACAGTGACACAAAAAAACAAAGACAGGCCAGCTGCTGTTACAGTCTTGGATCATGCAAACTGAATTTGTTCTACATGTTTGCCTCAGTACAACATACCACAGATATGCTAACCTGTGACTCACTGTGTTCACCCATGTGATGCAATAACCTTTTCCTATTATGATTTTCATTATGGAATCTTCTGTATTGGTTTAATACAAACGTAATGCAAGCTGTTTGGACTCTCATTCTCAAACTCACTGCCCACGTTCTGCTCCCCCTCTGTAGTCTTATGACTTTGTAATTAAGTTTTGGTTTTATAATTTGCAGATGTCCGGCTAGAAGAATTTGTGTACGAGAAACTGGAGAAGAAAGCCCCTACACGAATGAACAACCATGAGCTGTTGGGCCAGTCCATGATTGAGTCAGGGGGTGAATTTGGTCCTGGCACTGCCTATGGTGAGAAATCCACTGATTGCCCTTACATATTAAGACTGTAATCAACATTAAACTCCTGTTGAATGATGTTCAACTTTGGCTGTTACACAGGTCATCTTCTTTTTTTAGCCCGCTCCTTTTGCTGGATGACCAAGACAAACCTCCCTTTCAAAATTGCTCAATTCTAGGAGCGTCAAATGTTTGAAATCTGCTTAGCTTCTGGTTATTATTATCATTTAGTTGTTGGTATGGATGTCCNGATCACCTTTTTTTGCTCCAGATCCGATTCCGATCATTTGATTTTGACAATTTGCCGATACCGATTTTTCCCGATCCGATCTTTATGCAATGCATTAAGAGGAAAAAAAGCATTCAAGTTGTCCCTTAAGGTTATTTTTTTATTTAAATTGGATATTCTATCCAACATGGATATAGCTTCTTTTTTTCACAGCAGCATTGGATCAAAACAAAATAAAGCTTGTTAGCTTACTGCTACAAGTAGACACTGCGCCCTGCCCACTCTGTTGCCAGATTTGAGAGAAACAAGCAACCAGGTCTATGAAAACAAGCCCCAAAGAAGCAACACATACATGATGTTGTGTAATTTGAAACCAAAACTAAGGCCTCAGGATGACTTTAAGACTTGAACATGGTCATTTTTGTTTTGTAACATTGAATACAAAATTTTAAAAAAGTATTTAAAAAAAAAAAAAAAAAAAAAAAAAAAACCCCCCC